AAGTTGTGGTCTTAGCTACAGGTAAAACAAGTTTGTTTTTGCCCCTAAGATTTTTCTTATTTTCTCTTACTTGAAATAAAGATTGAATATACTGAGGCATATTGTTATAAAGGGCTTTAAAAATGATTAAAAGCATATCTTGTTTCCGTCTACAACTCAATGAGTAACCAATCTTATAACATAGTCTATCATATCTGTTGGAAAAGTCATTAACACATATCTAAGGGCAATCTCATGTAATCTCTCTAACCGGTCACTATCTTTGAGAGCTATTCCAAACAGAACTACAATAAGTAAAGTGAGGCATGAGAAATGCCCTATATATATGTATCTTTGACGAAAACAAAAGAATGTGTTTGAATCGGTTAAGTACATCAATTAGTTTACCTACTTTCTTAATTAACCTAGATATATGACTCTTAAAATTGTTGTCAATTACAACCCCTAAGAGTTCCCAGTATCAGTCACTTTGACTTGGAAACCATCAATATCCAGTTCTACTAGATCACTTTTTCGCTTGGGAAAAACTAGGAGTTTACATTTGTCTAAGTTTAGGGTCAGACCACAGTCATTAAACCATTTGGAGGTGACTCATAAGTTCCGGATGAGGGCAGCCTGAACCACGCTTGGAGCTATATCACTTGAAGTTAGTTTCGAGAGTTTGACCTCTGTAACAAAGTAAAATAAGTCATTTAAAAAGATATTAAAGAACAAGGGGCCTAAAACAGACCCCTGTGGAACTCCTCCGTGAATCTTGACAATGTCAGACTTGGCATTGACCACTTTAACCCGCTGTCTCTGTCCACTAAGATAATCTTTAATTAGGTTAAGACTCTGGGCAGAAAGAACATACGCCTTCAGCTTGTCCATCAACAGGTTGTGAGGGATGAGATCAAAGGCTTTACTTAAATCCAACGACACTGAACCAACAGTCTTTCCTTTGTCCAAGTCTTGCCTCCATGATTCGATAAGATGGGGAAGCACTGTCTCACAGCTATAACCTCTTCGATAAGCTGAGAGAAACGGTGATAAAATTGCTGCAAAGTGCTCCACTAATTGACGATTGAGACATTTTTCAAAGATCTTATCTAAATTAATATAGATACCGGTCTATAGTTACATATGTTCATAGGGTCACCCTTCTTGAGTACAGGACAGACTTCTGCTAACTTCCAGTCACTTGGGAAACGTTCAGATAAAATAGAAAAGTTGAATAGGTTAGCAAGAGGTAAAGCTAACCCCTTTGAACAGTCCCGTAAGATTTTCGCAGGAATCCCGTCATGACCAGTGGACTTATTTGGTTCAAGATTACCTACAACCTGTTGTACTTCTGCAGGACTGATTAACTGAAAGTTAAAGCTCTTTATATTAGGACAATTATTTCGTATTGCAGAAATGCCTGGATGACTGTCAGAACAATAGGAACTTCTCATCATTGCATAATCAGCACTATTGTTTTGAATTTTAGAAAAATGGTCGTTAAACCTCGTAGCTATGACGTTATTGTCAGTAATAAGTTCATTATCTTCTTTAAGAGTTATGGTATTGTCA